CCATTTTTCATTCTGTATTTATAATGACATTTTAAGGAATATTCATTTACATCTGCAAACACATCCCTCTTGAATATAAATAATCCTTTTACGTAAGTCTTTCTTCTTCCCCCTGGCTCCCTATTCTTTCCTGCCTTTTGGAAAACTTGCCATTCAGCAAACCAGCCTGTCACCTCAAGGAAGCACATCCATCTCAACAGAGACATGCAGGGCTGTTCCCACTTGACTCAGAACCAAGTATTCCAGAGGCTCGTGCTGGAATCAGGAATTCTGACTCATTGCCTCAGCAATCCCACTGAGGATGGGTTCACTCATTCTGCCTTTTATGCACTTGAACCCTCACAGACCACCACAGAAAACAGCTAAGTCTACCTTTAGGTCGATGCCGTGGGCTCTCTGGTTCATTTCTTCTGCCGCTACGCTCTGACCCTCCATCTCGCTCCGATCTGCTGCTGTGTCTGCTTCTATCCCGCTCTTCTGTGAAGAATTACACACAGAGCCAAAAAGTGTGTACCCTGCCTTAACATACACCTTTCTTCACCCTAGAGAAAGGACAGGTCTTCCCACTCACTCGCAGGTGCTACCTGCACTGCTCTAATGGGATCCATGGGTTCCTGAAACTCACATACTCCCATTCTATCCAGGGGAGAAAATGGTTACTGGCTAGAAAGTTTCAAATTCGTAGTAACAGCTATTTTCCTGCAAGAATTCAAAAAAGAATAGTTACAAGCCTACAGTGAATAGTTTTTTAATAGTTACAAGTCTATAAGCTATAAAACAAATAACACTGAGCAAAGTCAGCACTAGATTTTATGTCTAGCTTCGCTCCATAGCACTGTCCTTTCTCTATCAACCAACACTGTTGTAAACTCTCCTTTCTTATACATATTTCCCATTATCTCCTCTATCACCAATTTTCATAATAAAATGAACACCACACACTCAAGCAAAGCAGCTGTGTGTGTTATAAGCAACAAGTCTTGTCTTAATCTGCCTGCTATTCTCAATCTGAATAGGGTCAGAACCAATCAGACTGATATCATGCAAACAGGGCTCCCCAATTAACGGGCGTTATAAAAACTGCAACAGGAAAAAGGCTGACATGTTTATTTAAATTGTCGGGCCGTGCCCACAGCGCACTCGGGAAAGTGCGGTGCTGGGAGCGCACCAGCGCTCCCGCCGCAGGTTCAGATCCTATATAGGGATGACCGGTGCGCTCACAGCGCTCACTGGCTGAGCGTGGTGCGGCCGGTCTCAAAAAGGACAAATAAATAAATAAATAAATAAATTGTAACAGGCAACAGGAACTATGCTGGACAGTTTACCTTTCTCTCTTTTGCGGTCATGGTCTCGATCCCGCGATTTCTCCTTCCGATCCTTTTCTTCTTTGGATGAGGCATAGACACCATGTTCCCGTCGCTCTCTCTCTCTCTGCCGACTGCGTTCCCAAAACTCTTCACTCACACCACCAGGATGGGATGGAGTCTCTACCCGAGCAGATCGATAATGTCTGAAATAGGGAGGGCAAGTGGCAAAGGGCCCTCCAGAGGAGAAAACCTTGCCCCGCAACCTTTGGCTGGGCCCAACAACTGATCTGCCCTTTTCTACTTTATCTCTCTGGTACTGCAGGCTTACATATGATGACAACCCAAGCCATTTCTAGTCTCCATCACCTACTCTTTAGTTACCTTTGAATTTTCTCCACAAATCTGAAGAAAATACCAATTCCTACCTACCCTCAATATTACAGAATCATAATGAAACCATAAAGCTGTAAATATTCAATAGAAAAACTGGGAGATAAACATGGGATGTTATTTTCTGACCTCCATTCGCATTCCCTTCAAGCCAGCCCATCCTAAGGCCTTTACCTGTCTTTCCGGCTACTTCGGCCAGCCTGGTCACCGCCTTCTTCCTCAGTATCTCGCTGGTCATCCTTGCTCTCTTCCCAGTCCTTGTAGGAAGAGATTCTGGACTTCTTCTTGTCCTCCCCATCATCCTTCTCCTCTCGCTCCCTCCGTTTCAGGGAAGCCAGCAAGTCCAGTCCCAGCAATGAAGGGCGAGGAGCGGGGGCCTTGAAGACATGCTGCTCGCTGGCCGCACTTTTGGTCTTGCAAATAAGACCACCAACCTGAGAGTCCAGATCAGTGCCTTCCAATCGATGGATTGAGGCATCCTCACTGGTTTCCTCCATCAGTTTCTAGGATTTCTCTGGAAGAAACGTAAATCATTTGGTAATGGACATAAGAGGGAAGAAGGCTTGGCTCTTCTATAACCCAGAAAAACTGCAGTTATGGGTATATTTAGCTGGTTAACCCTCCCCCTCACCCAAGACCAGGACTTCTTTTGCTACCTCTTGCCAAGACCTTTCCATCGAGTCAGTGACAATCTCAAAAGACTCTCCTAGTCCCACCCAAGAGATACCCCAAATAGCTACTTACACACCCCCCACACACACACAGAGGGCATCATCTGGGCAAGAACAGGCCCCCCTAAAGGACTCTCACTAGAGCGTGATGGCATCTATAATGGAAGTGTAGGGGAACCACCACTAAATCTGAGTCGGAAAGCTCAATTAGAAACCAGGCTCTTGATATTTTCTACCTATATGATGATAAGCAAATAATTTAACCTTTGGTTAGCCATAATTCTGTATCTGTAAAAATGGAAACAATTTTTGCTTTATCTAATCCATGCAGTTACTATGAGAATCAAACAAAGTGTATGTGAAAGTGCTCTATAACCATAGTTATAAAAATGTAATTGTTACATTATTTTATTTGCTATGCTCCCATATACTGATTGGTCCCTCACCAAGTTTTCACATAAGTTCTACCTCTCCCTCCCTTTAAACCACAAATACAGGAGAGTAGAGATGGGGTATAAGGCTACCATCCACGTTCTCTATATTTTAGTAGGTTTTCTTGGACCAGTTGTGTTTTGTAGACAAGAATTATCTCGCAGCAGGTAAAATCAGTTTAAAAACAATCCACATACACCAGAAATATTTATGAGAAACACTAGGTTAAGAAATGGTGTAACTGAAAAGTATTTAAGGGACTATAGACTTCCTGGCACTCAACTCATAACAAATTTCTCTTTCTCTCCTACTACACACCACTCACTTATAAACATACATCTATTCTGTGTACTTGGATAATTCCCCTCCTTCCCACAAGTTAGTGAAGCAAAGGAACTGTCGAGAGGTAAAATACCACTAGAATCCAGACTTTTCTGCCAAGCTCTAATTTAGATGAACAGTTCTACAGAGGAGCATTGCCAAACACACTGGAACACACAATATGAATGCAGAAACAAGAGTTACATTTTGAAAATGCCACGAGGGGGCTGGCCCGGTGGCGCACTGCTACAAGCGTGCCGCTTGGGAGTGCGGCGGCGCTCCCGCCGAGGGTTCGGATCCCACATACAGACCGGTTCCCGCTCACTGGCTGAGCGAGGGGCACAGCACCGAGGGTTGCGATCCTGTTGCCGGTCCCGGTCCCGTATGGGCGTGACACTGAGGGTTGCGATCCATTGCCGGACACGAAAAAAGACAAAAAGGAAAAGCTTTATTCTGGAGTCAGTATTTTCAGAGATTGCATCCTTACTTCACATTTGTGTAACTGTAACAGAAGTAAAACCACCCATCTTGGGCCAGATTGGCAGTATTAATGCCACAAGGCAGAATAAAAAAGGGAAAGCTGCATACTGGTGACATCTGTATGCATGTAAGGAAATCCAGACAGAAAGGTAAAGATACACAGGCTCTGCTCAGCAGTTGTATGAATTAAGAAATATGCCCCTAGAATGCCTTTCTATGCAGGTGAGGGAAATTTCTATGTCTTGTGGGCTGCTCTGACCCAGTGCCTGGCAAAAAAAAAAAAGTTTGGCGAATAAAGAATGAATGAATTTAAACTTATTAAAGGGGAACAGGAAGTCAGACATTTCTAGAGACAGCAAGGGAAGATACCAGCAATATAGGACAGGAATCTGAGAGAGCGGACTTAACTAGCTGCCTGGGAGACCAAACAAGGAGTTAAAGAGAAAGTCTGGAGAAGGATTAATGCCAAAAAAAAAAAAGAGCCACATGAAGTACGAGAAAAACAGTGAAGAAAGAACCTGGATTTACTCATTCAACAAGTATTCATTGAGTGCCTCCCTGGCCAATCGCTGTTCTCGGCAACAGGGATAGAGACAAGAACGAAACAGACAAAAATCCCCGCCCAGCTGGGGCTGACATCTATTCGAAGAGAACGCCCACTAGGGTGCCTGCTGAAGACACACTGGGAGAGAGAACAGGAAAACACGCGAACCCAACTCGGGCTCGGCGGCCGTCGGAGTGGGCTAAGGCGGAGGCCTGAGGAAGGGCTCAGGGCCACCCCGGGCAGCATCCCTGCATCTCAGTGAGGCCGCTCCAGGCAGCAGGATACGACCAGAAAAAGGAGAAAGGCCGGGACAGGCAGGACGGGCGCAGCATCCCTGAAGTGCGTAAGGCAAACTGGGTGACAGGGACAAGAGAGGAACTTCCCAAACCGAGGCCCGAACCTGAGCTGGGCACAGAGATCCTCCTCCTGGAGCCGCCATGATTGGCGAAGGGCAGGTAAGAAACGAAGAAGGGACACTCACCTCACTAACCGCGACTCTTGGGACCCTTCTGTCCCGGATTCTGGGGCGCGGGCGCCGCCTCCCCTCGCTCAGACGGCCTCAAAGAACCAAAACCAGCACCTTGAAAGCGGCCATTATTGTCCCATAGTACCGTGCGCGGCCCCCTCTATCCGTCCGATGATACCATCGAGAGCAGTCCGGAAAACGCCGTTTCCTGGATCCGAGTTTAGGACAGAATATGACCAGACTCTCAGGGCTAGAGTGTCCCCCTCTGGAGCTCTTGCGACCAATCACACTTAGTCTGAGAGGCGACACCCCGCCTCTAATCTGAGGACGGGGACGGGAGTGCAAAACGGAAATAGGTCGGCCATGTTTAATGAGGGCGGAAGTGACGCCCGGGCTTGCGGTGATAGTCGGTCAAAGTGGACGAAGACCAGAATAGTCTCTTTTGTTTATTGGACTGTTGAGCAGGGGCGCCCAGCGACCGCACGTTGATCTTCTGCGCCTATGCGTTTTCTTTTTCCGTTTCCTTCTCAGAGTGGTCCCACGAGGGTTGCTAGGCAACATCCCCTGGATTGTTTTGGATTAGAGTCTCTGCGCTGTTTCGGGCCCGAGAAAGGAGCCGCTACCGTCCTGCTCTTCCGTGAAGGGGTCAGGGTTGCTGATGGCCCTGCAGTGGAGGGGACTTGACTTGCACGACTAAAGTAAGTGTCGTCGTCCCTGGCGGCTGTGGGCCAGCAGTAGCGCGACCACAGGCATCTTTAAAATATGTATATACCGGATATTTTGGAATATAGGGACGCATGCCCCGATGTAAATAAAAATCACCCATCTGTTCACGCGCAGAGATAACCACTGATGTTGTTTGGGGATATTTATTTCCAGTTTTCTGTGTGTGTAAATATGTACATATACATTATGGTTAGGTTTTGTACAAAAGTGGGATCAAACTTTATATACTGTTTTATAATTTTTTTCTTTAGGGGATCTATAATATTACATTGCAGGAATGTACTGTCGTTTATTTCACCAGTCCCCTACTGATGGCTATTTAGGTTGTTTCCAGTTTTTCACCTTTCTAAGTGGGGTGAATATCCTTTGTTCATAAGTCTTTGTGCACGTGTCTAATTATTCACTAAGAATTCTCAGAAATGGAATTGTTGGTTAGAGTAGGTCAGCTTCCTTTCCAGAAAGGTTTTGTCTCTGTACATTCCAGCAGAGACTATGAATGCCTGCTCCTCCATTCATTCTCTTGTCATTGTTACGTACTACTATCTTGTTTAATTTTTGCTAATTTTATGAGTTTTTTAAACATATCTTTTAATTTGCTTTTCTTACTAGTAAAGCTTAACTTTCTAAACGTATTTACTGTCCATTTGTACCTCTTCTATTGTGAATTCTCTGTTGGTATCCGTGGATATGGACATTTTCTTAGGCGTGGCCTCAGTTTCCCTCTTTTCTTCCCAACGTTTGTTCAGTCCCACTACTGGCTTTCCTGATGACAACATTGCTTCCTCCTTACTTCCTCCTTTTATCTGTAACATAGGGGAATTGCAGTTTGTTTGAATTCTACTGGTGGGACAGGTCTGTCTTCTCTTTGATTTACTGTCCATTTCAGTAGTAATTCGTTCTGCCTCTCACATTTGATGAAGTCCCTTCGGGCAATCAGCTTCTCTGTTTAAAGTATGACCTATTACTGGGACAATCTCATTTCCTATATGAATTTATATTAATTTGTATCTTGAAATGTGACTTGTGACAAAAAAAATAGAGAAAGAAATCCTCCCTTTTTATAGCATTAGCCAACTTTGGGACTGAATTCAAAATATCATCTATCTTGGGCCGGCCCGTGGCTCACTCGGTAGAGTGCGGTGCTGATAACACCAAGGCCCCGGGTTCGGATCCCATATAGGGATGGCCGGTTCGCTCACTGGCTGAGCGTGGTGCTGACAACACCAAGTCAAGGGTTAAGATCCCCTTATCGGTCATCTTTTTTAAAAAAAAAAAAAAAAAAAATATCATCTATCTTGATGGAGTCCCTTCTGGATGGCCTCAAAAATAAGCTTGCTCAAAGAGTTTCTCAAAAGTGAAATTTCTTCCAATCATAAAAATAGGAGTTTTGGACTAGAAATTTGATGGCTTGGATTCTTGTACTTGTTCTTGTAACTACAAGTGTAATTATAAGTAAACTAGTCTGTAAAATGAGGGAGTTGGAATAGTCCCCTTCTGTCTCAGTATTTTACAATTCGTTCATTTAATTGTGGTTTTCCACACACTCTCAGTTGATCTGTTTGCCCTGTGATGAGGTGCACCTAGTAAGGTGTGCACCAAAAATCTTTAAGTCAGCACTCATGATGATACATTTGTTCATCAATAAAAGATTGTTTAGAAAGTACTCTGTATGCATGAAATAGTATGCCACTGTGACAAAGAATATGGAAGTTTTCTGTATGAAAATACAGGAAGCTCCTCATACATTAGGATAAAGTGCAAAGTGCAGAAGAGGGGGTGTAATGTGCAGGCAGAGCATTTGCCTTTTGCTCCTCCAGAGCTGCTCTTCCTCCTCTAGACTGCTCTGGGACCAGGAGGCATACCTCCCTCAGCAGCTCCCCTGCCCTCTGGTTCCCACCGGAGTCAACCCACAGGAGTGCTGGCAGAGGTTGGAGGGAGGAAGGTGGTTGCATCCCTTAACAGCAGGCTGACCTCCTGTACATCAGCCTCTGCACGCAACTCTGTCACACGGTTCTTACAACTGCTGCCTTCCATGGCTCCTTCAGCCCTGGGGTGGGAACAGCACCCCACGGTTACTGGCTTTACCTTGTTTTCCTACATCTGCCTTAATTAAATTCTCTCCAAATTACCAAATTTGAGGGTGTCATCTCCTTCCTGCTGAAAAACTGAATAATACAACAGGCCATCTTTTAGGTTAAGAAAAAGAGAGAAAATATAGAAACACATATGTATATTTTCTTGTGAATTCATAACAAAACTCTGAAAGATACATGAGAAACTAATGAAAGCAGTTACCTGGTGTGGGGAGGGGAATGTGGCCCAAGGGAACTAGGCCCAAGGAGGGGAGACAAGGAGAGGGAGACTTCTCACGGTGTACCTGTCTATATTGTTTCTTTTTAAACCATGTGAATATATGACTTACTCTAAAAATTCATTTCTTTAATTAGGGATCATGCACTTAATCTAAACTCTTTAAACCTTTTGCAAATTTATTTCAGGATTGACAGTGAAGATTAACATTTGAATTTCAGGATGAGCTTTCTGTTGCCCAAGCTGACTAGCAAAAAAGAAGTAGATCAGGCAATAAAAAGCACTGCAGAGAAGGTGTTGGTTCTCAGGTTTGGGAGAGATGAAGATCCTGTCTGCCTGCAGCTAGATGACATTGTAAGTGAATGTTTTAAATAAATGGTTTTTATTAAAAAATGTGTATATTCTCACTTCAACATCTGCAAAATACATGAAAGGAAAGAGTCAAGGCTGGGGACATGGTGACTGTTGATTCATTAGCACACTTTCACTAAGACTGTTCATGTGCCTGCCCTGACCTGAGCCCCCAAATCTGTGATTGTGCTGAAACTGTCTGGATGTCCTTCCCCAGTAGCAGCTGTCAGAGCTCAGTTTCACTGACAAGGCAGTGGAAGAGCAGAAAACATTAAGCGGCTCTGAACATTCTCTTTTTCCATGCTCACAACAGCAGGATAATAGTAGCCCCGTTTCCCAGTGGGGGAAATGAATGCCAGGGAGGTTAAGTAACTTCCCATACGCACAGATCCAGTAAATTGCAGCACTGGGATTTGAACTCAGTTTTCTCTAGCTGCAAATACTCAAATACTCTTTTCTTTGTTGGCAGCTGGTCTGTATGGGAATCCGAACCCTTGACCTTGGTGTTATAACCCCACACTGTAATCAACTGAACTAACAGTCAAGCCCTGAAAATACTCTTTTCTAGTGTGCTACCTCCAGTATGTGCCTGGTGATAATCTCTGATTTCACAGCACATCTTCCCACTCTGATTAGTAAGGAGGAGGGGTATGGGACAGAGTTGGAGTATTTTTGTCTCTGTTTATTAGGAAGAGAGATTTAACCACTACTAAGATGTCTTCTCACCATTCCTCTTGCTGCCATCCGCTGTGAGGATTGAGTGTAAGAATCCTCATTACTGTGATTAAAAGAGTGTTGTGATATGTTATCACAGGGGGAAAAGGACCAGAGGAAAAAGACCCTTGAGGAGGAAATATCACAGAGGTCAAGAGTATACACTCTGAAGCTAAGCTGCCAAAGTTCAAATCCCAGCCCTGTTGCTCAGCTGTGTGGCCTAGGGAAGATTACTTTACCTCCCCCCGTGCCTCAGTTTCTTCATCTATAAAGTGGAGACTCTAATAGTGCGTACTTCATAGGAATTTTGTAGGGATTAAATGAGTTAGCAAGTGTAAAGTACATAGGACAGTTAGCACACAGTAAGTGTCATGTAAGCATTTGCTGTTATTATAATTACCATTTCTGGGAGTTTTGGGAGGAAAGAGATTTGGGGGAATTTCAGTGTCTGCATTACATATTTCCGAATTGTTTTCTTTTAAGTGAGCATGAATTACTTTTATAAAACAATCAAAGAAAGAAAAAAAGGAAGAAATATATTCACACAGTGTTACCCAGGGCGCTCTCTTAAGCCTGCCAGTCAATCAGACTCTGAATGATAAAGTTACACTGTGTCTAATGTGGAACCTAAATGGGCTAGATTCTTGGCCCAGGAATTTTTTCAAACAAAATACTCTATTGTAGTAAAAAGTTTCACAGAAGAAACATTATCTACTTCTCATATTATAACCTACATCTCTCTGATCATTTGCAGCTTTCTAAGACCTCTTCTGACTTAAGTAAAATGGCTACTATATACCTGGTAGATGTGGACCAAACTCCAGTTTATACACAGTATTTTGACATCAGTTATATTCCATCTACTGTATTTTTCTTCAATGGGCAACATATGAAAGTGGATTATGGGTAAGTTAAGTTGACTGGAAGTTATTACAGTCCTGAAAGTTTTCTTTATTTGAGCAGATACAGGAGTTCACCTGTTTGCATGTGATGTTGGTTCTGTGAGTCTTATACTGGTACTGTTTCCTCAATTCATGCACTCTCTAATTTTTTATGTAAAACCTTGGTACAAAATGAGAGTCTTTCAGGTATGATTGGCAAATTTTAATTTTCAACTTAAGTTGTGAAGCACTAACCCTCCTTAAGTCTAGAACATATAGAAGAGCCATAATAGCTAAATGTAAAACTTAAAAAGTTCCCCAGGAATTTCATTTAAAACAAAATAGTTGTTCTTAACCTTTTGGAATGGGTAGATGGCATTTATAAAAGAAGCATTTCCAGCAGACTAAGATATGCTTCCCTTTTGCCAAATTGTCTACCTTCTACTACTCAGAATTTTTTTTTTTCCTTTTTGTCTTTTTTCGTGACCGGTAACGGGATCGCAACCCTCGGTGTCACGCCCGTACCGTGACCGGCAACGGGATCGCAACCCTCGGTGTCGCGCCCGCACCGCGCTCAACCAGTGAACGGACCAGTCTCTATATGGGATCCGAACCCTCGGCAGGAGCACCACCACACACCCAAGCACCGCGCAACCCTCGGTGTCGCGCCCGCACCGCGCTCAACCAGTGAACGGACCAGTCTCTATATGGGATCCGAACCCTCGGCAGGAGCACCACCACACACCCAAGCACCGCACTCTACCGAGTGCGCCACCAGGCTGGCCCACTACTCAGAATTTTGAAGTCATTCTTCAACAAATCCCATCAAGAATAAGTAACATGAAGTCTTCTTTAATTCCTTCCACTCCCCCCAGTTAGCATCACACAACTTAACATTTATTATTGAATGTACGTATAATTCTTATCATTTCTTACTGTGGTTGAGGTGTCCACTTGTCTAGATCTGTGTAGCCGCTTTGTCATTATCTATTTGTAAGTGCATTAAATATTGTCTATTTTACATGTTTTAAAGCTATTTATTCTCCTGGAACACAGCTGACATAAGTATTAATTCAGTAGAAACTTTTTAGAGGGCAATTTATGACACTGTATCAAACACTTTAAAAGTGTTTAAACTGTTTAATGCAGTAATTGCATATCCAGGAATTTAATACGGTGATGGGGATATATAGTGAATGACTTTAAAAGAAGTATATGTTAGTTGGAAAAAAGCTCATAACTAACTGGTTTGTATATTATGATTCCTGTTGTGAATAAAGAAAACACGTATGTACACTCATATACACAAATGCTTACACATAAGAGTGGAAGGATCTATACCAAGAGGTGACTTTTGGCCTCACTGGTGATTTTATTTTTTTTCTAAAAAATTTCTACGCTAAACACACCAGCTGTTTGAAATATTTAAAAAAAAAAAAAAACTTGTTAATACCACTCAAAAGTATAAGTTACTGGAACTTGGAGACCATAACTAGTTAGTGGGCTTTGCACAGTACCTGGCCAAAAACAACAAACAAACAAACTATGCCCACTCCCACACTCAGTGAATTCTACTTGATAATGAATTGAGAAGTGATTAAAATAGATTTTGAAGCAGAATCTTTTCAGGTGACAGGGCTTTCAGGCTAATGTCCCACTTTACTGGTTTTATTTTTTTTACTTGTTTATTTAGCTTTAAATATTATTATTTCTGAAAATAAGTCTGAAAACACAAATACGTCATAAAGACTATGATAATTTACAGATGTAGGTTTAATATAAACTAAATCAACCCTACTTTTCGTTTATGAATTTGAATTGGTCACTTAAATAGAGCACTGCACAAATTGTATACCCATTTTATTGGGTGACAGAGGTGACTTTCCTTCTTGTTACATAGTGATGAATGAAGTGGTTAACAATGGGCTTATGGCCCTTCTTTCACAGCCCTGAGAGCCACGCCATAGAACACAGCACTGGTTTTAGTCCTATGGGAAATACCAAGTGGGAAAAACCAACAGAAAAATCTATGTCAGGCTTTATGTCTAAAGTCTCCTTGACAAGAAGAAAGTTACAGAGCTACTATTTATTTTGTTTGCCCTAAAAGTCTTCAGCAAGTAATTATTAAAAGTTCTGAAATTGGTTGTTTCTCTTCTATGCTGTCTAGATCTCCAGATCACACCAAGTTTGTAGGAAGTTTCAAAACCAAACAAGATTTCATAGATTTGATTGAAGTAATCTATCGAGGAGCAATGAGGGGAAAACTTATTGTCCAAAGTCCTATTGATCCCAAGAATATTCCCAAATATGACCTTCTCTATCAAGACATTTAGCACAGTGACTGCTGTCAGAGATGAAGAGGGGCACATCTGGAAATGGTGCCTAAATCCAGCAGTGCTGTTTTTCTGGGGTCCTTCGGAAACATCTTCAGCATCGCAGCAGAAAAGAGGTTTGACTTGTATGTAAAAATACCCGGCCCCTGAGTGGAAGAGCACACTGGCAGTCTGATGATCTGGGATGCCTCAGCGTCTGCTCCCTGCCAGCTGCAGAGCAGTCAAGTCAATGGTGGTGTCTCCCAGGGTGATTTTTTAAACTTCTCTTTATAGTGTGCTTTTCTTTATCCCTTAAGATAATAAAGAATCCTCTTAAATATTAGCTACCACAATTTGAGGTAACCATTTTTATTTGATATACAAGTAAAATGGAAAATCAATTCCCATAGAGCAAAAATACTTAATTTTTACCCTAGATGCACACACACACACCCTCACCTGTTCCTCTGCTCATATGTTCCTTATGCTCTCCTATCTCCTGTTCTTATTACCCCAGTTTCTCTTGGAATAAATAATTCCCTACTGATAGCAGGCAAATATGTTTTATTTTGGAAACTTTCTGGCTTAAACTTATAAAACACTGTCCTGGTTGACTCATTTTACTAGCTTTTATGTTATTAAATTGCCCAAGAAGTGAGAATTGAGCCTTCACTATGAAGCATCCAGTTTGATCTACACAAGGAATTGACTACCCTTAGTAAGCAGGAGCAGATCTCTTCCAGAAGTCAGAGTTGCTGCCTTTTCCTGAGGCAGAAAATTGTATTTCAAGGGCTGAAGACTGAAAAGATGTCAGAATTGTTGGAAAGAAATACCACATTGATGAGATTTGCCTGTTTTCATAACTTTATGAAGAATTCTTGCTCTTCCAGGGCCCCCGGCACAACCGTGGGCAAGTCCCTGCTCCTCTCAAAACCTCTGTTTTTTCCTCTCCCCCACTCCCTGCCTTTGATTATAATCATGATGTGTGGAGACACAGCAGCCACCTTAGTATCATGAGGCAACCAGCATCAGGAGGAAAAATCAGTATGCCGAGAGTGATGATGAAGGGAGCCTTGTCCCTGATGAGGTGTTAAACTCCCGAGTGAACTCTGGACCTGCCTCCCTCCAGGCTTCTTTGAAACAATAAAATGTCTTCATTGCCTGTCACTGTTAGTCGCGTTTTCTGTTGCTCAAAGCCTAAATCACACAGCATTTGATATGTGTTCAATGCTCAGATCCCAGCAAAAACTCACAACTTGCATGCATAAAATTCTCATATCTTCTTTCCTCCTGAAGTCTTTAGGGAATCTTTCCTTTCAGTCCCGATTTATGTTTTTGATCCTATCTTAGTTGCTTTCCATTCCAGAAGTATTTACTGAGTGCATGCTATATGCCCCAACCTCTGCTAGATGCTTCCTATATGCAGATGCGTCCTGTGCAGGGAACGAGGCTGCTGAGAGGAAGCAGTGCCTGAGTCTTAAAGGAGAGTAGGAGGTGCTCCTGCAGAAGGGGAAGGACCCAGGGGCTGGAGACAGCAGGGAGTGTTGAGAGAGCAACACAGAGTCCAGCGTTGCTGCAACCCACATGCTGAGGTCAGGACAGCAGGAGATGTTGCATGGAAGCAGAGAGGGTGAGTGATGGAGAACATGCCAGTTTTCTCTTATCATTATTTTCCTCCTGAGTGGCGACCAGAAGCCACTTAATATAATCAGATAATTCTTCAAGAAAACTTAGTGCTGAAGATACTATGAGAAGAAAAGTGTATAACTGACTGTATTCTGAGGCATTTTTTTTAAGTGTTTGGCTATTATTTTTCAGTTTCTGGATATTATTTCTTTCACAGGTTCTAGAATATAGGTTCATGTTTTCATTGGTCCACTAGCTCTAATCTGTTGAAATTTATTGATGGATCTGGAGGGTGCGTGTGAAGAGAACTTCTCAGTAAAAGCCAGATCTCATTGAAAAAATAGTGACACCGGTGGCATTCTGTACAATGAGAAGGAGGGGCCACATGTTGATATTAGAAGAAGGTGTATTGTTAGGGATCGGTGTACTGAAGGCTTATAGCAGGAAAGAAGAACTTCCTTCATGTGTGAGTTCCAGAACCTTTCTTCTGGGAGACCCTTAATAGCAAACCCTTATCTTTGGAAGATAAGACTCAGGTGGCTCACATTTGATTCTTGGTAAAGGTTGGGTTTCTTCTAAGTAGGAAAAGCAGTTTCTGCTGAGGAAGAGACTCCTGACTCCTAACTCTATGAAGTCTGAGAACATTATTGCTGGTAGGGACTTTGGAGATTGTCCGGTTTAAGTCCCAGAAGAGGGACTTAAACCAAAAAGGAGAAGAGGCCGGGAACCAATGGCCAGGAAGCTCAACACACTCAGCAAACTTTGGGCCATGCTATGATTTGTACCCAGCAAGTCCAGAGATCCTACCTTTATGCCATCTTATTTTGTTTTCGGGAGTGCAGGTAGATCAGAGCACAAACAATAAAGTATTATAGCCATCAAAACACTTTTTTAAATCCCACTTTGAGCTAGTGTCTTTCTGGCTCAAAAGCCTAAACACTTTCTCCTAATTCAGTTCGAAGAGAATAGGATACAGTGAAAAGACCTCTGAGTTTGTATTCAGACAGGTGTAGGTTCAAGGTTCAGCTTCTAAAAGCTGTGTAACCTTAAGCAAATCATTTAACTTCTCTGAGTCTCTGTTTCCTTTTCTGTAAAACAATTACCTTTCTGAGGCCTAACATTCAGTAGGCACTTAATTAATGAGCATGATTCCCCAAGTGAAATAGTTTGTATCACCTTAGGGATTTCCAGTTGGCTTGGTATATTTTCTGCCATACTCTCAGTAGACTCTGTACCACTTGGCTGCCCCTCTATCATAAATTAGAGGATAAAAAAGGCCCAGGACTAAAAACAGCACAGAAGTGAGTCAAAAGAAAGCTCTTTATTGACTGACCCAGCAATGCAGGTCTGGCCCCCATCAGCTCCAGAACATGTCTTCCACCTATTCCCAGCCACTGTCCCCTCTTCCAGGGTGAAAACTTGCCCTCAGGCCAGGTCTCTCAGCCACCCTTGCATTAGTTGTTGGCTACAGTTTTCTGAACCCAGTCCAGGATGGAGGGCACTTTCACATACACACCATACTCAGCCACAGCACAGCTCTTATCAAAGCTCAGGATCCCAGCTGCATACCAGGTCTTCTCATCCGGGTCGTAAACGGCAAAGGCACTGCCAGCGTCACCATAGCAGGTGTCTTCCTGATATTCAGACATGCCAGCACAGAAGGTGTGTTTGTTCAGGATGGGCTGCACACCTACTGGGCTCTTTGGTGTCTTCTTCTCGGGCACCGTGCTGCCTTCGTAGTGCTGCACACATTTGTCCTGGTCAGCCACCGGCAGCGTGACATACTTCAGATGCTCAGTAAACCTGAAGTTGGTATTTCGCCCCCAGCCGGACACGTAGCCCACACGCCCCACTTGTGCATAATCCTTTGAAGGTAGGCAAATGGGCATCACTCTCTCATTAACAGGCACTTTATGTTTGAGTTTGATGAGCCCAATGTCTACTTCAGAGTAGTTAGGGTAGAAAACTACCTTCTCGATCTCCACAAGCTGATTTTTCCCCACATAGAGTTTTAAAGTAGGGGCAATTTCTTTGGCTGTTGCATTCTCTGAATGATTCAGGAAGAGATTTTTAGCCGTGGTCAGCAGCCATTGTTCATTGATCAGCGTGGCCCCCGTGGTGAGATTATGGCGGGAGACCATCTTAGCCTGCCAGGGAAAGCTGCCTTTGGCATCCAGATGTCCACCCAGGATCCGTTGCACCTGATCCACCGGATTCTTAGGCTTTCCGCATACTGTCAAGGAGAGCAAGAAACTCAGGAGTAGAAATTGAAAGTCTCCCACTCTGGGTAAGAGGGGGAAAGCCCCTCTTTAGATAGTTTAGACAACTGGCTATTGCTGCTGTCTAAACAATCATTGCTTATTTTTTTCAGAGCCAGAATTATTTAAATACTTTGCCCTTACCACCTGCTCATCTCATTTCCAATATTTACAGTTTAAAATAATTTGTTTTTTTAAATTGTTTACGTCACAAAGCAGAGTTCTAGTTCCTGCTTTTCTAATTCACAAAAGAAGTAACACTGAGATGTTTAAACCCTGGCTGATGAACCGTATGTATATTTAAACAATTTATCACAACAAAGGAATGTCCACAATTCCCTGAAGTTCACTGGAAAGACTAGGAGCTGTAATAATTCATCCTATCCGAATCAAGAGGGGCCTGTAGCAGCACTGGCTGGAACTCAGATTTTATAAAAGTTGCAGTTAATACAAGGCAGGTTGGCAGTTCCACACACTAATAGCAGAAGGTGGGCAAAATCCTCTTGTTCCAAGAGGGAGAAGCAGAAAGCAGCAGCTCTTCCTAGTGACAGGAAACAGAAGTCCCAACCCATCTCCAGCCACTGTTGTGCAAGAGGTCTTCCAAAAGTTCATGAGAAGATTCATATAATCTTTTCATTCTATTTTTTCATGAACTTTTTGAAGTACCTTGTACTTCTATGGATTAAGGTTTTGTGTGTCCTCACTTGACTTGTGCTTCCTGGAGCTTGCTTTACCTTTGACCCCGGGCTCTCTAGACAGGCCATCTGTATGCACAGGGTCTCCTGGTCTGGGGCAGTGTAGACAGTGGTGTCAGTCAGTGCCTTTCAGGCCCAAATGAACAAGACGTTTAGTGAACTCTATCCAGCGTCACCCTTCGTGACCAGTTGTGGTTCTCCCTGATTCCTCATCTGGGCTCTTATGTGCCCCGAGGAAGCCACACAGGCAGATGTGCCTCTGGGACATTTCTCCCTAGATGCCTCCCCATGCACTAAGTCCTCAGCACCCACCTGCTTCACATTCAGGAAGTTTCTGTCCAATGGCCTCATTCACCCACTGCTTCTGACTGTTTAAGGTGTACACTCCTGAAACAAAATAAAGAAATGAGCCAAAAGAGAACTTAAGTCTGGACCTAGAATGAAGTGAGGAGGTACTTAAAGAGAAGAATTACAAAGAAGGAGAGTGCCAGGAGGAAGGGCAGGAGCACTATGCTGGAGCCGAGTGCTGGAGGCGCCATGGCGGTCGTGGTGAGGCGTGCAGTTAGGGATCAGGGTTCTTTTTTTTTTTTTTTAAGATGACCGGTAAGGGGATCTTAACCCTTGGCTTGGTGTTGTCAGCACCACGCTCACCCAGTGAGCCACAGGCCAGCCCTGGGGGATCAGGGTTCTAATCCTGCCTCCACCTCTTACAGGCTGCCTGAACTTGGGCAAGATACTCAACCTCCCTGTGCCTCAGTTTCCTCATCAGCAATGTGAGAATGCTAACCGTACCTCCTCCTAGGCATGCTGTGAGGACTAAGTGAGCAAGTCAATAAAAGGCACTGATAACAGTGTCGGGGTTGTAGGAATAACTGGGTAAGAGTTACCTATTGTCATCGTCATCTGTCCTTTGACCACATCTCATAGATCTCACGCTGAAATAGGTAGGCTACGTGGCATTGCTTCCCAGTAACAAAAGAGAAAACTTGAGGCTGAGAAAAGTTAGATTGACCGAAGAACCACAGGCACTGGTGACAAAACCCTTTAGAACCTAAATCTCCTCAACTTTCTGGCCAATCACCCCAGCCCCATCCACCACGGAAAGGTCAGGGCAGGGGTGTGCGGAGCGCACAGACACGTGTCCAGGTCTCACCATCTCCGTCACTGCGCAGTTTGTAGAAGTTCTTACACTGATAGCGAACCGAGTGTTCCACGTAGCCATTTGCAATCTCAGGGGGCTTTGGGCAGCTGTCATCTGCAAAGAAAAAGGAACCATAAGAGGAGGTTGATATTCGGAAATTGCTCCCAGAAGCCCATGAAAACTCAGATGAATGGAAGCTGCTCTGCACATCAACCTCCCTCCACCCCAAACGGAAGCCAAGGAAAGGGCAATTCCCCCTCATTTCTTGCAGGATCCCCAATGCTTTTCATGATACTGAAAGCCCAGAAATTAGAATGAGAAGGGGGAACTGGACCTTTCCAAAGACAGTGCTGGTCTGATAGGGTCAAATTGGGATGGAGCAGTGTCGAGGGTACACAGCTCTTGCCCAAACCCAAAGACCTACTTGCAGAATCTGTGACATCATTGCCAGGGTCCACTGCAAAAAGCTGTCCCCAGAGCAAGAGGGCGACAACGGCTGTGAGGGCACTGCAGAAAGAAGACAGGAAGGAGTGCAAAACTGGTCTCCCTTCTTCACAGTGCACCCACCCAAATGGACACACACACACAACACACACACACACGTGCACATGCACACACACACACACACACGCCTCCCACAAAACAGCCAGAAAAGAAAATAAGTATATGGAAGTGCTAGGATCAAGAAGCTGCCTCTACCCACCCACACGCACACTTTTACAGCCTTCAACAATTCTATGCCGCTGGGAATCTACAAATGGACTCCAAGACAGGAAGGCAAATAGGTAAGTAAATGGGCCTCAATTTCTGGCCACGTTCAGAAAACATTAAATTGGCAATAATATCTGTGCTCCCCCATCAAAGAGAAACCTCCCTCAGGCACCCCTAAGGTACTGGGCTGTGAAGATACTGCTAATAAAACGCAGATAACCTGAACATGGGAACATGGGGTTTATTATGCTATTCTCTCTACTTTTTGAATTTTTTCGTAATAAAAGTTCTTTTAAATACTGTGTATAATTTAAAACACTTATATGCTGTTTCTATTATTTTATGATAATTTGCCTTTAGGAAATAGTGCATTAAACTCCAAAATGCCAGAAGTTTACCTGGTAGAGAACTGGCGTCCCAAAAGCATGGCTGTGGCCATGGACATCAGCACACAGGCCACACTTACCAGTTTACTGTTGCACTCACAGATGTTGGCTATTCAGGAATCGCATGGTTATGTCAAATTCCTAGTCTTGTTATTTCAACATTTCAAAAAGTCTTTTTATTTTCATAAAATCTAAGTGTCTTAGTTGTGTCACTTAATATGGCACTATTGGTCTTTCTTATTATACATTCTTAAAAAGGAAAAAAAAAAGTCTGTGAATAAGTATATTTAAAATGCCAGGAAGCCTATATGGGAGCTACTGACATCCCCTGGGAAGATGAAAACGTAACCTCAGGGAAAAAGGTACTCCTTAGAGTAAACCATGTCTCCCGGGAAAGTCAGCCCTGTCTGAAACCACTGTGTTTATGGGTGCAGGAAAAAGAGGATCTAGCACCCTGAGCCCTTTAACTCACTGTAATTTAGCCCGTTTGCCCCATATCTGTTATATTTTTGCATCTTTCCTATTGGATTCTTCTATACCAATGTATGCAAAAAGGATGAAATAAAGAACAAGGAGTGGGGACAAAGCTGTGGACTCACCTCATCTCTGGCTTGTCTTGCCTCTGGAAGGGTAGTGCTGTGTAGACACCTGCTTCTCCTTTTATGCCTCTAGCATCCCACCTCACCCCTGTCTCGATTTTGTAATTCCTGTGTCTACACAACCCTGGCCTTGTTAAGGTCACTGGCATGTTCCGGTAACAAAACTACAAACACCCCTTTTAAGAGTTGAGCTCTTGCTTCATGCCTGATTTTCCCGTGGTGTTCTTTTACAAACCCCTGAGAAACCTGGCAGCCACATGACCCCACGTACCTGCCAAAGCATTTCCCAAAATAAGCAATGGGGCAGGACGCAGGGAGAAAGCGTCAGTCTGTCTCTTTATTTTGGAGGGTTTTCAGCACTGAAAAGGGGTTTTCTTTGAGTTATTTCAAACCCCTTAAAGACACTCCTGCAATAGCTTACATGGGACTCTAAAGAAAGCATTTCCTTTTCACAATTATTTTCCCCACCCTGTGTGGACATCTCCCTATTGCTTAAAAAGTTCTCCAACCTGAACTCAGTAAAATGTGATTTTTGTGTCTTCTCTGATTGCTCTTTGCAAGAAATCACACGAAGTAGTTGAAGCTATAGTGTAGACTGACTCAGACCAATGGCAGTGATTTTCATGGTTTTATAGTCTAGTAATTCATCCAAACAGACACATGAGAAAAACCAACGTTTCAGTCAAATGTCTGCACCTATGTATACCAAGTACTATTCAGTTATTCAGTTGAAATGTAATAGCAACTCAATAAAAGACTGCTTTATTTTTTTTAAAAGATTAATGGGTCTTAAATTACAGTGTATAAAAGAAGCACTTTGGGATATTCATGGTGGCACTGATGTAACAGCAAAATAACTGGAAACAACACAAATGTCCATCAGTAGAAGAATGGATAATCTGTGTTATATTCATATAAGAAATAGTGTGTGTTACATTCATACAGCCATGAAAATGAATAAACAATAAAAGAACATGGATAATCTTATAAACATAATTTTGACAGAAAACTGAAAATTCCAGAAGATTTCATTTGGGACGATACCACTTTTACAGAGCTCAAAACAAAGCAAAATTTGGCAATGGATTCCTAGATATGACACCAAAATCACAAGCAACAAATGAAAAAACAGATAAGCTGGGCTTCATCAAAATTAACTTTTGGGCCGGCCCGGTGGCGCACTGGATAGTGCGCCGCTTGGGAAGCGCGGCGGCGCTCCCGCCCGAGGGTTCGGATCCCACATACAGACCGGCTCCCGCTCACTGGCTGAGCG